CACACGGTATCAGGGTCCATTTGGCAGAGAAGTCTGACATAATTCTCTCTTATGTTACCTAAGAACAAATAATCTTTAATCACAACTATAGGTTTGGAAGCTTGTTTCAAGTGTTTTCTTCTCCCCTAAACAGAGAGGCCTCTGTCTTGTGTTAGTGTGATCTATGAGAGGATCCCTGTAGGAGGGAGAGGCTGGAAGACTCGCCTAAGGTTACCAAACAGTACCCAATGACAAATGCATCACTAGCGTTCCGAAAGATTTGCATATTTCTCTATCACCATATTGTTCCAATCTCACCAGAGGAAAACATTCTGGAGTCTCTAATGGAGTTATTACACTTTGGGTAATTTATATCCTTTAATTTTACTGCTAAGTGAATCAAAACTAAGAAAGGCTGAATGTCTTGCCTTCTTTAACAGAGATGGGATCCTGTTGTTAGCAGTCAGACTCTCTTCTAATATTTGACTTTAGGCATACATCCTAAAACTGACAGTTGGGGGTGGTCTATAGATTATCTGTTAAAGCTGTAAAGCAACTTATGACACATGTTTAACCAAATAAAATGATTTTCCCCAGCTTATGCCATCCTGACAGTTTCCAAAAACCATCTTCACCTTCCTCCTTGCCTCATAAAAAAGGGGCTGCGGCTATTTTTAAACCCAAGGTTTGTAGAAGGGAATGTAGATTATAAATCTAGGTTAGTTGGGTTTATTCAGGAATTTGTCACACTGAATATCAACTTTCTTGACTCCAAGTAAAAGAAAAATGAAAGATCAATTAGATTATCCAAATCTCTCTCTCTCCAACCCCCCTCTCTCCTCCCCCCTCCTCTGACCCCACCGCTTCAGGTTTATTCCAGACTAGTTGCAGAACAAGAAGGAAAAGCCCAAGTTTCTTGCTCTCGCTTAAGGCTGATATAGGAGTAGCAATGTCAATGAATCTGTGTTGCAATATTGTTTACTATCAAAACAACTCCAAGTCAAAACAAATATCAGGACAAAGAAAATCGTGTAACAAAATACTTGTCAAACTTGTACAAATGAGTGGCCTATTTAAAAAGAATTCCAAAGGCAGGAACATTTTTTATCAGCCCTTAACTTCTGGAAGCAACAAGATACAGTGTATCCACTACCTCCTTTCTGTTTAGGTCTTGTCTTAGTTAGGGTCAGGGTTTCTATTACTGAGATGAAACACCGTGACCAAAAAGCAAGTTGAAGAGGAAATGGTTTATTCGGCTTACACTTCCAAATCACAGAAGGAAGTCAGGACAAGAACACAAGCAGGGTAGAACCTGGAGGCAAGAGCTAATGCAGAGGCCATGGAGGGGTGCTACTTACTGGCCTGCTTTCTGTGGCTTGCTAAACCTGCTTTCTTATAGAACTCAGGACCGCCAGCCCAGGGGTGGCACCCTCTGCTATGGGCTGGACCTTCCCCCACTGATCACTATTGCATTAAATGTCTTACAGCTGGATCTCATGGAGGCATTTCCTCAACCGAGGTTCCTTTCTCTCTGATGACTCTAGCTTGTGTCAAATTGACACACAAAACCCAGCCAGTACAGATCCCTTATGAGATGTGTCTAAATGCTACAATTTTTTTATAACTTCAGGATAAATTCAATGATATTTTCACCTTTCCATCCTGATAAAACAATAAAAAGATCTAATAAAATGTGCTTATAGGTTCCACTGTCTTGTGAGTAAGTAAGCAATCAAGCAGCACTTTTTTATTTTATGGAGTGAAAGCAACTTAAACACAGAAGTCTTTAGGACCTAGTCAAAAATTACACAAAGACTGAGAAAAATTCTACAGTGATAATCCTATCTGCAGGGCAGCTCTGTGCCCTACTTCTAAGCCACGATTAATAGCAAGCCTACTAATTGTGTAATGTTGGTACATATCACGCTCTCCTTTGAGGCCATACATTGCTGAGCCCAGGGCTTGAGCTTCAGAAACTTTTATCAGTGTTGTTTGAGGCAGGAGGCTTCATCACCTGCTGCCACTAGATGGTGCTTGTCATTGAAACAAAGCTTCCTCCAGGAAGTTTTCTCTGTCTCCACTAGGACCATGAAACTTGATTAATAAACTAAATAGTAAATGGGTAGGTAGTTCAGAGGGCTATAAAGCACAGGAAACTATTGTTCAAAAAGCAAACAAGCCATTACAAAGTTAGGATTATGCTAATTTCACCAATCTTTTTTTTTTCCCCCCTGAATATTCAACCCAGACCTTGCTCCTGGTATGTAGGCATTCTACTATTGAGCTAAAGCACTGCACCCCTTACCCCCTTTATTGTGTTGTTAGAAGTTAATATATCCCAGGCTGGCTTTGAACTCACTCTGTAGCCCAGGCTAGCCTGAAGCCCTTCTTCCATATTGGGATTACAGGTGTGTTCTACCACATCCAGCCTTTTCTGTTCGTTCTCTTCATCCTCAAACTTTGTGAGCCATAGGAGAAAAAGAGCAAATTAAATTTTCTCAGCATTTAGGAGAATCAAAGGCGATAGTGAATATTTTAGGACAGGTTGTGGGGGAAAAAAAACCCCAAGGTCCTCAGTATTTATTGTCCTCGACTGAAACGGCAAAAACAAAGGTGACCGACCACACACAGAGTTAACAAAAAGTTAATCATGACCTTTCCAAGGAAAGCACATGAATCTCTATTACTGGACAGTAATCAATAGGAAAGGAAATGGAACATGCCTTTTTAATTGTGGGATCGCAAACACCAAGAGGGGAGCGATAACAGAGCTGGCAGGCTGTGGGCCAAGGCCAATTCTTTTCTCATTAATTTAAGACACATACCAAATTTCACCCCACAGTTCTCATTCTCGCCTCCCACCCCCACCCTGCTCACCAGCTCTATACCCCCGTACAGGGCAAATTCTTGCCAATCTTGATAATAAGGTGCCTCCAGGGGTTACCTATCAATTTGCATGAAGGGCATTTTGACATATTTTGCAGCCAAGCACATGGGAAATGTGTTTCTTGGACTTTTCCTTTCTCAGACAGTCACTAAAGCTGACTATTCATGGCCAGTTCACGTCTATAATGAGAAATTGCCAGCTATGTTGAAATACATAATCCACGGCGTGAAAAACTGCTGATCAGCAGTGGCAAATTCTTAATACAAAAAGTGATTTCTTTTTTGCTCATGAGCTTTAGGGTTGCTGATTCTTGCTGTGTGTTCAGGAGTGACAGTTACTTTAAACATTTGCCTAGAGACAAAATATAATTGCTCAGGGGGGATTTAAAGGTCAGGACATGTTCCGCCTTCACTTTTCAATTGCCCCATCACTGCCGGTAGGTTTTGTAGAATGTGTGAACATGAACGCAAGCCAGATACGACCAACAGCCAAACACATGACATGAGTGCATTTTAATTTCAGACATTAGGCAACTTGGGGGTGGTTCCCAGTGCTCGCTGAGTGTTGACTAAGGATTTTACACACCCCAGCTTTCCCCAAACACAACCTCTGTATCTGCTTCCCCGACCCCGAGGGAGACGGCATGGATCTTCTCCAGTTCTAGATACTGAAGAAAAGGAAAGGAAAGGAAAGATAAGAAAAGAAAAACTAGAGACTCTATCATTACATCTATTTCACCTCTACACCCAAAGTCCCCCTTCTCTGGCATCTTAGTATCTACTTAGAAGTGTTGGAAGCAAGAGTTAGTATGTGAAGTTGACTTCTCCCGGGCTTAGTGTTGGGTGGCAGAGTGGAGTCTCAACAGTGACTTTCACATACAAAACGCATGAACAGGAAACACAGACATGCTTGCACTGTATGTTGTGTAGCTTAAGCCCATTAAATGGTCACTCTACAGTAGTCGTCAGGACATTAGATGGTGTCTGTGCTGGCAACTGCTCACACCTTAAAGGATTTCTTAACTGATCGCAATAGCACCGGGCCATTGACATAATTGTGATTTGCTTGGAAAAAATGTATTTAATTGGCTTCAGCAGCATAGTAAATATGAAAGATCATTTTGCAAACGCAAGAACCTGCCTCTGATGGCTGAGAGTGTTTCCTTAATTCAGACAGACGCCACCAATGACACTCCTGTGTCCCCAGACACCCTTTGCCTAAAAAGATGACTAGTGACTTACACTGGACGCTGACAGTACTTTCTTTACCAACACACCCCAAGTTTTGTAGAGTGGCATCCGGAATAATTTGGGTTGGGAAAAATCGCAGGCAACTTCAGGTTCTTCCCGTGTAGAGGAACTGAGGCCAGCTGGATAAAACGTTGAAACTATCTCTGGGTACAGGAGAAGCCTGGCGAAACCAGGCTGCGGGGTCGGGAGCTAGATGCCCCTTCCAGCCCCGGGAGGGCGCGGCGAGCTGAGCCCCCAGAGAGGGCGGCGCGGCCCGAGGCCCCTCCCCTCCGCCGAAGCCCGGGCGGCTGACGCCGAGCGGCGGCCGGGAGCCGAGGGGGCCGGGCGGGCGGGCGGGCGGGCGGGCGCGAGCGAGGGCAGGGCAGGGGGCCGGCCGAGGCCACTCGCCGCTTTAAATATGGATCACGGGCTCGCGCTCGCCGCACAGCTTTGGCCGCCTAGCCCATCCCCGAGCCCGGCCCCGGCTGCAGCGTCGGTTCCCAGCAGCCACACGGAGAGCCGGGCGCACACGCGGGAACTGCGGGAGGCAGAGTAGAGCGGAGCCGCCCCGCCGCCGCCCGTCCCCTCCCCGAGGCCGGCACTACCGCTCGGCGTCGCCGTTCCCTCCCCTCGTGGCCGACCCTCCCGCGGCCGCCCTCGCCCCTCGGCCGCCTCCTGGGCGCACAGCGCGCAGCCACCCACCCGGCGCCAAAGTTGCGACCGCTGCCCCGCGCGCTCTGCGACCGGCCGCGCCAACTTCCCAGCCCACGCCGCCCGGGTCCCCGCGCTCCCCCGCCTCCCAGCCCCGGCGGCGCGCGGGGCAGAGCTTAGGTGGCGGCGAAAGCGGCGGCGGCGGCCGAGGTGGCGGCGAAAGCAGCGGCGGCGGCGGCAGCGGCGGCGGCGGCCGCTGCAGCCTCACACTCGGTCGCCAAGCTGGAGGAGCGACGGAAGCCCGACCCCAGGAGGTGAGTGGCCCGAGCGGTGGCAGGGAGGGTCGGCCACGTCCCCAAACCTCGCCCGCGCGGTGGGCACTGGGTGGCGGTCCCACAGGGCGCGCTGGCGGCCTCGGTGCGTCCAGGGAGGGACGCAGAGAGAGAGAGAGAGAGAGAGAGAGAGAGAGAGAGAGAGAGAGAGAGAGAGAGAGAGAGAGAGAGAGAAAGAGAGAGAGAGAGAGAGGTCAGTGGCGGGCCGGGCATCCCCTGGGCTGGACGCCCGTGAAGTGTGGACACCGCTGCTGTTGCTGCGGAAAAAGTACTTTTTATTCCGTCTTAGCGTTCAGATGACGACTTTGGGTGGTTCTGTTTTCCCCCTACTGCATAGCCTCCTGCACGTAACCGGGCGTTGTTGCCACGACTGTGGTGGGGCCAGTGGACGCCCGGGCTGGGCTCAAGAGCAGTGACACTTGTGTTCCCTTGAGCCCGGGTGGTCGCGGTGTGACTGGGAAACTGCTTGAGGGGGAGGGGGACACACCCCCCAGATCCTTAAGCTGTGGAGGTTAGGGCAGCAGTGCCATCGAGGCCGCGGTCCCTTCTCCACTGTCCGCTCCAGGACCGGGCACTCGCATCTTCTCTCCCTGGCACGCCGGAGGCGGGGGTGAGTCAGGCAGATTCTCTGCAAGCCGCACACATTTATTTGCAAGGGGGAGACAGAGGTTAAACTGGGATTTCTGTGGGCTGGCGACGGCGGAGCTCTCGCTCAGGTACTGGGCAGCATGTGCATCTTGGCAAGGACAGGTGATTCCTTCCTTAAGTGCATTGCACTCAGCCTTTGGCAGTCTGTGAAGAGCAGCCACTGAGCAACAGCAGCTAACTGCAGCAAGCTCCACAAAGAGGAAAGTTCTCCGAGAACAAAATGGGGAAAGAAAACCCCTCAACTTGGGAAACGCATTTCTGCTTGGGCTCTACCGTGTAGAGCCCTTCTTGGTTTCCTGTAAGTGTGTAGCTTTGCCTCCCCAACCCCTCCTGGAGGCCCCACCTTCTTTCTCAGCATGATTGCCTGCAGCAAGTTCTTCCAGTCTGAAGTTGAAGTGCTCAAAGCACCTTTCTCTCCCTGTTTCCACTTATTTCTCTCCCCCTTTTCACCTCAGTGCCAGACAAACTTGCTCTGGGTGAGAACTCCCGGACACCGGGCTGCAATAACACAGTCTCAGATCCTGGAAAGGCTCGTTCTTGAGGTGCTGCGTCGAACTTCCTTTTCTTAATCAGGGACTTAGGGACTGCAATATTATCTGAATGGAAGTGTATATTGCTCGCTAGTGCCTGATCCTTCTGAGATTTGAAGAGATTCTCTCTGGCAGCCAGTCCTGTGCTCGGTGGTTTAAACACTTACAAAAACAAAGTTTCTAAGAACCCTGGTCCTTGTTTTTGTCACATTAGCGTAATACTTTCCAGTCATTATTGTACCTTAGACCAAGACTATTTGTATTTCATTCAAAGGAAGCGTGCCTACTTTGTAAAGCTTTCCTAGCAGAGAAAAACTTTTACTTTCATTTTAAAGTTAAATCTAAACAGGATTCTGATCTCTTACATTAAGTTGTGGAATTTAATAGTCTTACCATATCTCTGATTATAGGTGAGATGGTACAAAACTCCCATATCTAGACAGGATAGGAAGCTTAACTTCTGCTATGAATTCTTGAGGCATAGGGCACATATTTGGAATGGAGTGAGAGAAAGAAAATGGAATATTTTGGTAGTGCCAGGTATATTTGAGAAAGCAGAAATCCTCATCCCTTTCTATTTTACAGCATACAAATTTCAGTATCATTATCTGTTTGAGGGCCATTTTTGAAGATATACAAGGCAGGTGAGGTTTTCAGGTGGTCAGAAGTATGCTCAATTTATTGATGTATTTCTTCCAGTTCACCTTGTCAACATAAGAGACCTTGCAGTGTTTGCACACAAGTGCCATCATTTTAAATGAAGACATTTGGATTTACAGAAATACTGTGTAAAAGGAAGACAGGCAATTGTAGTGGAGGAAAAAAAAAACGTGTTAGAAGCCAGACAACCTTTGGGATGTCTCCCAGCACACCCTGGTGGTAATCTCATTTTTCACTGAGCTCTGGCAAGTACAATTTGAAGATTCTGATCTCTTGTTCTGATAACAGGCATGCTAGTCTGACTATAGCTCACATCTTAAAGGAAAACAGCACTTAAGGAAGGAAACACACTGTGAATCACTGTAGGTAATCAGGTTTCCCTGCCTGCCTTTGAGGGCGCTGTAGTCCATAAGGACTGTTATGGTTAGGGGAGCCAGTCCTGGGAGAATTCACTGCTGCCAACGTCTGGCCAGGATACTCAGCATGCTCCTTGGTGTTCATTTTAAAACACTAGGCATAAAGTCTGGATTTGATGCATAATCAGGTCTGGGAAAGAACAAGCGGATGATGATTAAGGTTTCCAAGTTTTATTTCAAAACGGAAGGGATCAGGGTACATGACTGATTGTCTCGAGGAAGCTGTAACCAAACCACTTATGTTATTTGATGGATTTTTCAGGACACCTTGAAGACCCATGGAGTTTGTTTCTTAATGGGGTCCTTTAGCAAAATGAACAGTTTAAAGAAAACCCAGGAACTAAATAGGACTTGACGAAACTATATATTACTACTTTTGCATATAGGTATTTTAGGGGGTAAGTACTGTTTCTTTGATATAAGGCCAGGAGTATATTGTACACAAATATATTTTGCCTGATTCCCAATATTTAGACACTTGGTGCATTTTGGTCATGGATGTTTGTGTCATAACTGGAAGGCATCTCGTATACCCACCACTTCACGTGCTTAGCTGTTTTTCCAGCCGTAGATGTGGATAATCTTTTACACAGCGCTGTCTAATCTGCATAGTTACATGCAAAACCACACTAATTCAGAGGCCGTTCAATCTATTTTATCTTCAGTCACATTCTCTTACTATCACAATGACTCCGAGGCTACGACTTGTACTGCATTTCTCTGGCCTCAGCAGAGAGTGCAGAGTGCAATGGACAGTTGACAAGTCACCAGAGGGAGAGTGTGGAAGCCATGCCTTTGTTTACTTGCTGTGAGGTGGAGGAGAGAAAAACTGCTTTCTCCAGTCCTCTACACGAAGCACACGGCGGTATACTCCTTAGTAATAATGTCTTTGTTACCCCTGAGTTAGGAGATGTATTGAAAACGGATGACAGTCAAATAGTAATAACAGTAATGGTGAAACTATTTTCATCTGTTGTTTGTGGGAGCCAAAACACAGTCTTCTTCCATGAAAAATATCAAGCAGATGGAAGAGGTTTTTATGCTTAGCTGGGAGACTCAAAAACCAAGACAGAGAATTTTTTTTTTTTAAACCACCCTGGGAAGTTATTGGTGGAGGCTGCAATGCACAGTCTATCTGCAGACCGCTGCTTCATCATTAGTGACTGTGGTGAAGAGAATGGGTGTTATTTCAGTCACACAGGAAGAGGATAAAGCACGTGAAAGTTCATCCTGCTTAATGTCATCTTCACCATCCCTAGGCCATGCTGCCCATCAGCGGTGCCCACTTGCTTCAGCGTTGAACTTTTAGATTCTACAGTGCTGGAGGTGTTGCCCTGGTTGATTCTCAGTTTGGCTGTATCCCGTGTGACTTCAGTCTTGGGGGTTAGGTTTATTTTCACACAGAATCCACACAGAAGCAAAGTACACAAAGTTAAGTCTTTGAAGGACATTAGTAATCCACAACTGGCATCTTGGTGTTTTATTTTCCTCTTACTTTGTTGAATTTGTATTAACAAGCTTAAAAGAGTTTTTTTTTTTTTAAACAGAGTTTTTGAGATAATTTTGGGTGGCGTAAAAATAAAACAATCAGAAATTCAAAAAAGAGAAACTTGTTCTTTTGTGAGTCACACAGTAGGGAAGCTCTTTCCTAATGTCATTAATAGGAAGTGAGGCTTTCTTTTTTGCCTTTGAAACTATCTTTCCTCATGAACAGCCCACTCTATACTGTTTTCAAATGAGCAAACTTAAGGAGTCTGGGCTTTTCAACTAGTTAATTCTAGCTTTGCCTTGGAGACCTCCTAATGATTGCTGGGCTCTAGTTATATGGTCGTCTGTTTGGCATGCTCTCTCGAAAGAAAGGCTCTGAGCAGCAGAGAGAAGACATATATTAAAGAGGACTCCCATCACGTGGGAGATCTCTTAGAGTCTTTGTATAGGAAGCACATTTGAGTTACGATTGTTATAAGACCTTTAATATCACAGTCAACAAGAAAACAGAAGGTAGAAATGGTCTGAGATTGGTAGGTACATAGCAGATGCTGAGCTGGCTGAGTGGACAGCCTATTGGTAAAGGAAGAGGAAGCCAGAAGGCCGTAAACAGAAGTAAAGGATAGAACTTAATACTTGAGAATGTCATGTATGGCAGTGTCCCCTCTTCTTTCCTCTTTTTTCTCAATCCTTCCATCAGCCTCACCTTTTTAAGTTTTTATTGAGGTGCAATATGTAGTGAGAACATCTCAAATGCCATTAAAACATCAGCAAACAGCTCAACTATCTACTTGAGTGAATCCATCCCTGTAACCAGCACTGACGTCAGGATGCAGGTCACTGGAAGCTTCGAAGGTTCCTTCAACAGTACCTTCTCACTCCTGAGGCTGTAGGTTACTTTATCTGTTATTCAACTTCCCCTGAGCGAGCCGTGTGGTGTGTACATGGGGGTCTGACTTTTCTTGTTTGATGCTATGTTTGGGAAATTTGGTCTTGGTTCACGTGTAGCAAGTTTGTTTACTCTCATTGTTCTGAGGCGATTTACTTCTGGGGAATAGCACAAGACATTTATCTTTTCCATTCTCGATGGATACTTGGGTTGTTTTCAATATTTGTTGATTATGATGTGTGCTCCTGATATGTGTATTCCTGAATATATCTCTTAGTAAGTGTGGAGAACTTAGTAGTGTGTGCTGAGTTCAGTTGTTAGATTTGGTTTAGTAGATGGTATATCTTCCCT